TGCATCCATGCGACCCAATTTAGGGCGGTAACCAGTTATTTAGGAAGCAATGCTCTAGACAACAGATTCCAGTTTTCGAAATGTTCTTAACAATGGTTACAATGTTTTCGATTGAATAAACTTTAATGTGTTGCTCGTGTTTGTAACATAGTAAGTATGGCTGTTTAACCGCAGACGATATCGACTTATTTCCTGTAACTGCCGCTCCAATTTATGACGACAGCAAAATACTTTGAAGGGTGTTACTTCCGGATCTGTTTTTACGAAAGAATTTGAATGGCGTCTATTTTTAAGATAAGAAAATAGCGTTCTTTCATAAGGGAAGCGAAAGAATTGTAGTGTTTAAATATTTATCAAATGACGCTGATTTCAGTGCAAAGCTGTATTCATAGAGGACCTGCGTGAACTCTTAATGCTTCAAAAGAAATTTTCTTCAACATAGACGATTTATCGCTTGAAGAACCGTTATGTTGTTAGTCAATTACTTTAATATTTTAAGGGGAAACTTCAGAAGTCAGAATAAGTCTATTCCTCCCATTTATCATTCTAAAAACCAAAATTATAATTTTTGGTTGGATTTTCTAGGAATCTATAGTCAGACGAATATTCTTATTTTTGTTGTTATTCTATTTACATTATTCCTACTATTGTCCTCATCTTTGTCGCCATATTTATTACAACGTTTCGGCCGATGTACGCTCCGGCCTTCTTCAGGTGGTTGGAATGTCGAACTGAACCCTTTATTTCGCTCACTGTGGTAGACTGTTCTAGTTCCACGTGCCATGTTTAATGGATGTCAGTTATCAGTTATCTCCTGTTAATTTTCACTGCCGTAACTGGGTATTGAACACACACTGTTTGGGTCCGGTCACTGGATCTAACAGACGCCTTTATCCACTGTGCCATGTGTCCTTGAGGACACATGGCACAGTGGATAAAGGAGGTTAAGGCAGTGGAGAACTTTCAGAGGAAAGATACTGATGGGCCGAAACGTTTTAATAAATATGGTGACAAAGATGAGGACAATAGTCCGAATAATGTAAATAATGTACATAATACGTTATCTCAGAAATATAGACATATACTGAAGGGCCGGAACGTTGTAATAAATATGGCGACAAAGATGAGGACAATAGTCCGAATAATGTAAATAGTGTACATAATACCTCATCTCAGAAATATAGACAGATACTGAAGGGCCGAAACATTGTAATTAATATGGCGCCAAAGATGAGGATAATAGACCGAATAATGTAAATAATGTACATAATACCTCATCTCAGAAATATAGACAGATACTGAAAGGCCGAAACGTTGTAATAAATATGGCGCCAAAGATGAGGATAATAGACCGAATAATGTAAATAATGTACATAATACCTCATCTCAGAAATATAGACAGATACTGAAAGGCCGAAACGTTGTAATAAATATGGCGCCAAAGATGAGGATAATAGACCGAATAATGTAAATAATGTACATAATACCTCATCTCAGAAATATAGACAGATACTGAAAGGCCGAAACGTTGTAATAAATATGGCGCCAAAGATGAGGATAATAGACCGAATAATGTAAATAATGTACATAATACCTCATCTCAGAAATATAGACAGATACTGAAAGGCCGAAACGTTGTAATAAATATGGCGCCAAAGATGAGGATAATAGACCGAATAATGTAAATAATGTACATAATACCTCATCTCAGAAATATAGACAGAAACTTCGAACTGAACCCGTTATTTAATCTACTTGGATAGATTGATTTTATTCCGTTGTTCGCCCTGTTCGTTTTTAAATCTGCTCTTTTGTATCGATTGAATCCCTACTAAGTTTACCAAAGAAGAAAGTATCAACACTTAACAAATACCAAAAAAAAACCAACAAAAAACAAAAAACAAACAAACACATCATTTGAAGACTTCCAACAATAGCAACAACAAAAAACGGGTAGCATGTGTAGAATACGTAGCACGTGTAGAATAGGTAGCACATATAAGCAGAGGAAAACAAAATAATGATAAAATTAAACTGTTAACTTTACAGACAACCAAAAGTAAATTTAATTGAGTTGATTTTTTTTGTTTAACGGCTTATCAACACTTAATGGATTATTTAATGCCGAAATTTAATTTCCTTAGGAGCTTTGAAGTAATAAAAATATGATCTATGTTATTCTGCTTTCACAATTGAATACAGGGTAGATGATACTCAGCTTTTGCGAATGAACATGTTTGTTAGTTGGTTCATTTTTATCGGCATATCAACACCTCTATGGATTATTTAATGCCGAAATCTAAATATTTTATATTTTGTACATAATTTTATGGCTTCAACTAAATATATTTTGAACGCAACTTTCTACTTTCAGGGTAAAAGGTATTTATATATATATATATATATATATAGTTTGTAGATTATAAAATGTATTGCTGGTAATTTTAGTGTAAAAAGTATTTTTATACTTTTTTAATGTATTGATTGTCATTTTGTTATAGAAATTGGCTATTTTACTATAAAAATGTACCATTGATTTTTGTTTGGGGGTTAACTATTTGCCCATAGCTGGGACCCTAACAGGTGCTACCACCCCGGGTCAGGATGGACCTGGAAACAACACCAATTAAGAGGTAATTTCGCGCTCCTCAGAATCCCCATTCGTCTGATCAGAACCAGGACAATCAAAAACAAAAGGTTTGTGAAGAAATTTTACCAAGATTAGAAAGATCAATGCTATTCTGAAATATCTACACTATCATCTATATACAACCAGTTTCTCAGATCAGTAATTAATAATGACTTCAAGCGAAGACATCTTTTAAATCTTAAAAAAGAAAACTGAGTACAAACTATCCTTCATCAGATTCTATTCACAGGCGCCATAAAATCCGAAATGAAGCGCTATACCAGATAACAAAACCATATGACTTGAACTCTTCCAGCAGCAGCAACAACAAAAATGGAGAGCACATATAAGTAGAAGATACAATAATGAGACAATCAAGTTGTTGACTTTCTACATTACCAAAAACAAAAGGTTAAAAAAAAAAAAAACTATTATCAATATTAGAAAGACCTATAACATTTAGTTACTACAATTTTCTAAAAAAAACTCTTTTAATAAAAGGATTTTATATATTTCGACCTATAGGAGCATTCGTTGCTCGATCAATGAATGCTGTAATGATCCAGTTAGGAAGCAGTTTATTTTACCGCTACTAAGCGGCCCATTGATTGAACTAATAACTATGGCACCAAATTGGCCAGCCAACTCTCTAATTCTTGTATTGTTCCGTGTCAGGCATAGGAAGAAGGCCGGAGGCCAAACGGTCGAAACGTCGTCATAGCAACAAAACAAGGAGGGCATTAGGTCGATTGTAAAAGATTATAAATAAGCAAAAATATAATCAATGTTTTTTTTTCTTTTGTCCATATTAATAAACCTATTAATATGGACAAAAGAAAAAAAAACAATAAAGAGAGAAAGAAAGAAAGACAGAAAGAAAGACAGAAAGAAAGGAAGAAGGAACTAAAGAAAGAAAGAAAGAAAGAAAGAAAGTCAGGAAGAAAGAAAGAAAGAAAGAAAGACAGAAAAAAGAAAGACTGAAAGCATGAACTCAAGAAAGAAAATAAGTAAGTAAGTAAAGAAAAAGATACGAATTTATGAATATTAATTGATAAATAAAAATCATGTGAAAAGGAAAATTTTCTTAATATTGTGCATCTTTTGTCAGTTTATTGATGAGTCCCAACTATGAGATCCGGGTTCAAATCTCTTCATGGTCGTTATAACAAATATTTCTTTTTTCTATTTCTATGTTTACCCTGTTGCTTCGAGTCTCTTCTTCATTTTTGAAGAGATTGTCCAACATTCTCTGCCATACAGGAAGACAGATATCACGTAACAGTTCAGTATTCTTTTCTTTATTCCCAACGAAAATTTTCTGCTTAGCTTTTGAAATGCATCTTTGGCCATCCCAATAAGTCTTCGGATCTCAGTGTCGCACTTTTCCTTCATTGTAATTAAATAAAGTGTAACTGTCGTTTATTTTTTGACGAATAATGTTGATAAAGAAATACTGAAATTATTTATGACGCAACCTAATAAGTCATTGTATATATTTCTAATCAGATCAGCTTAATCTTTTATAAATTTGCGTATGGTTAATTTTTTTTCTATGTGTCTAGACACTACATCAATAGAAAATAGAAGAAAAAAAGCTCATCGGCGGGATCTGGCTTCTCTCTGTCTTTTCTACAAATATTTTAATGGCAACTGTTGCGTCGAGCTTTTTTTTCTGTCGTCCTCCAATGACAGGAATTTAATCATGTTATTTGTCATCCTCCCACTCTTTTACTGTTAATATTTAACAGCCCCAAACGAGGGTGTATATGGTACAAGGCCGGTTTATTGACTAAACGGGCAGGGGCCTTCGGACGAGCCCGTAGGCTCGGCTGAGCAATCTAAGTCCGCCTTTGAACCCTGACAAAAATATTCCCTTTGAACCCGACTAAACGGGTTCAGGGCCTGTCTACCTCCCCGGACGAAACTTTGCCCTTCGGCAAAGCCTCGTCCGGGTTCCTCTCTGCTCAAGGCAGAGAGTTCGATAGTAATGAGCAATCTATTCGACCGTTATATTTAACAGTCCGCCACGAGGGATGTATGTGGCACAAGGCCGAGCTTACCGTCGGTTCTCCGAGCCTGTAGCCTCGGCCAAAAAATATTGAACCTTTAAACGGGTTCAGGGCTTCGGCAAAGCTCGTCTGGGTTGTATTTAACAGTCCGCCACGAGGATGTATGTGGCCCGTCGGACGAAACTTTGCCCTTCGGCAAAGCTCGTTCGTCCGACGATTAATGAGCAATCTATTGCCAAGGGAGTTCGACTCCGAGCCTGTAGCCAAAAATATTCCCTTAAAATGAACAGTCTGGAAACTTTCGACTGTTCCCAAAAAAGTTCGACAGAAATGAACAAGTTTAACCCGGTAGTAGGGGTCTGCTTACAGTACTTGATGTTCCCAAGCGGTCCCCCATCTAAGTACTACGATGCTTAACTTCGGTGATCGAACGAGAACCGGTGTTTTCAGCGTGTTTTGACCGTAAGCAATGTGATTTTCCAAGCGTAGCAACAAGACTTATCCAAACAAATAACTGATATATATATATATATATATATATATATATATATATATATATATATATATATATATAATATATAATTGGTATATACGGAATGAATTCCAATACCCAACAATTACTATTCTTAAAAGAGTGCTCAATACAAAGTAGAGCAGATATAATTATTATTTATAAAAAAATATATATTTAATCCTAATACCCTTAAATTAAGCTATAGTTGTGCTGATAACCTGGAGAAGATAATTAAAAAACATAACAAAAATTTTATCTTCAACATCATCACTTGATAAGACACCGTGTGTGTTGAAACAAAATGGCTATTTTTGTAGTGATTTTATAACATACTTATGTTATAATTTTTTATAAATAATAATTTATATATATATATATATATATATATATATATATATATATATATTACTGTTTTTTACTGTTTTTTCCACTTTCCCTCTTGCCCTTTATATGCCCCATGAGTATCAGATTTTCCAAGCTCTCCTTTCTCATTATAAGCCCCCCCGACACTGTAATCTCTTCCTGGTGTTAAGTATTAGTCTCTTTTTTGTTTCCATTTTCGCTAAAACTACGTCGTTACTCATATGTTCGGTTTTCAGTATCCTCAGCATCCTTCTGTAGAACCACATTTCTGTTGCTTCAAGTCTCTTCTTTATCTGTGAGGAGATCGTCCAGCATTCGCTGGCTATCAGGAGGACAGATATCATGTAACAGTGTAGTACTCTTTTCCTTGTTTCTAGCGAAATTTTCCTATTTCTTAGTACCCTGCTTAGCTTTTGGAATACTTCTTTGGCTATCCCAATACGCCTTCAGATCTCAGTGTCGCACTTTCCGTTCTCTGTTAAAATACTCCCTAGATATTTAAATTTCCGCACTTGTTTGATTTGGGTATCTCTGATTTGCAATTTGCCTTTTTGGTCTCCTCCTTTTTGCTAACAACCATGCATTCCGTCTTCTTGCAGTTGATGTTTAATCCTTTAGTAAAGGTTTTCTTCACTCGCTTCCTGTCGAAGTTTTTGTAGTTTTCTTTCTGTGTCTGCTATCAGCACTGTGTCATCTGCTTATCTTATGTTGTTAAGATTGTGGCCGCCAATAATGAATCCTGGTAGGATTTCTAGTTTTCTTAGAATCGCCTCGTTGTACAGGTTGAATAAATCCGGCGAGAAAACACATCCTGGTTTTACATCCTTTTCTGTTATTGTATATCTGCTGAACCAGTGCTTCTAAAACATTACACACATCATAAATATGTGAAACTCAGGGATGATCACAATTGTAACAGTTTGTCAGACGAAGTTGTAAGCCACCGTTTCACCTCATCCTCCACGGAATTGGAAGGGGTTCACCACTCTCAACAACACTAGCCGTTGATGTTGTGGTTTCCATGACAAGTAAGATTTTACGCAATTAAGTCATCTACTGACCGAATTCAACACTGCTTAACTTTGGTGATCGAACAAGAATCGGAGTTTCAGCATGGTTTGACGTTGAGGCTAAAATGTTATCTAAGTCAGCCACAAGGTCACAAATATAGGCGCTCCGTGAGAATCAGATTAAGAACAAATGTGAGACTAGTTTTGTAACTATTATTTGAGAAACCAGGCATCCGACCAATTGTCATTAACATTATCATTGAAAATAGTTGAGACGCCTGAAATTCCTCAATTTTTGGCTAGAATTTGAAATATTACTTGGGTAGTTAGGGCTAGGAGGGTTATGGACTGGCTTTTTTTTTCTTCATCACAATCCAGTTGCCTGCCAACTCGTGAAAATTAACGGGAGGCTAAAATCACCTGATGTTAGGGTGGGGGCTGGGTTTGGAAGAAAGAACAAGAAAGCATTATCAATGTCTGACTAATGCTGATTTTGATGGTTCTTGCCCTGCAGAGTATAGTGGTTATATAATGTTGTGGCAAAAAAAAAAAAAAAAAAAAGAAAAGAAAAGGGCTGAATTCTGAGAGGCGAACCATTATTGGAACGTCTTACTGATAGGAATAATTGAGTTTGTATTTTTTAAGAGCGGGCAAGATGAAAGAACGTTTTGTACTGAATGACGAAGTGAATTATTGCGTTGAGGGTGAGTACTGACAAAGAGAAGAGAGAGAGAGAGAGAGAGAGAGAGGGGAGAGAGGGGGAGAGAGGGAGAGAGGGAAAGAGAGAGGTCTAATTGGGATAGAGAGCACAAAGGTCATTGAAGAGAAAGGGAAGGTGAAGAATTAGAAGCGTAAAAGTAGCAACAAAAGAGAGGGAATGAGAAAGACAGACACAAAAAGGCAGAGTAAAAGAAAAAGAAGAAAAAAAGAAAGCGAAAGAGAGAGAGAGAGAAAAAGAGAAAGAGAAAGAGAGAAAGAGAGAAAGAGAAAGAGAGAGAAAGAGAGAGAGAGATTTAGAATGAAAAAGACAGAAAGATATAAAGAAATAGCGATTAAGATAGTGAGGAGACAAGAAGAAAGAGAAAAGAAAAGAGAGAAATAGAGTAACAATAAGACAGAGTAAGTTAGAGAAGAAAAGTGACAGTAAGAGTGAGAGATAGAGAAAGAGAACGAGTAGGGGGAGATAGAAGGATACAGAGAATCGAACATATAGACATTGATTGAGAGAGATCGAGAGAGAAAAAGTAGGGAGGAGATAGAGGAAGACAGAGAGTAAAACATATAGAAAGGAAGGGAGAGCAAGGAGAAAGAGAAAAAAATGACAGTAACTGTGAGAGACAGAGAGAGATAGAGAGAGAGCGGGAGAGAAAGAGTAGGGAGGAGATAGAGGAAGACAGAGTAGAACATAGAGAAGTAGAGGGAGAGCAAGGAGACAAAGTAAGAAACAGAGAAAGTGACAGTAAGAGATAGAGAGGGGGTGGGCGAGAAAGAACAAGTAATAAAATTAGAGAAAAGGAGTAAGTCAGGAAGAAAAATAGAGAGAGAGAGAGCGAGAGTGAAGTGTGAGAAGAAGAGATTAGTGAAAAGCAGAAAGGTAAGAGAGAATGAAAGAGAGAAAGAGAGAGAGAGAGAAAGAGAGACGTAAGGAGAGGAAAAGAGAAATAGCACGACAAAGAAGGATATTTGAAAAACGAAGACAGCGAGAAAGAGAAAGGGAGGAAGAGAGAATTGATGAGAGAGACGGATGGATAATTCTTCTGATGAACTTTCATCTATGTTAAACAGACTTTATAAATTTAAGCATAGTACTAGATTGGCAGTTAGGTCTCATCATTTTACAGTTGATATGGTTAAATATAACCGCAAGTTCTATTTTAACAGCTTCTTTTCTCGCACTTCGCGCTTGTAGGACTCTCTTCCGGCTTCTTGCTTTCAAGACCACTTTGATCTTCAAAAACTGAAATGCAATGTCGATCGTTATCTTCTGTCTTCTTAATTCCCATTCTTTTATTGTTATCTTCTCTATACTCTCTCACATTCAGTAACCACTTGAGTATTAGTGGCTTTATTGCCTTGCTTGGTGTGAAATGATTAAAAAAACCATAGGGAGGAGTTGGAAGAAACAGCGAAAATAGAAGCGGCAGGAGATGACAGCCTGAGACTTGACAGCTTGTCTAGAGATTTCCTTTGGATATTTTCACTATAACAGTCTGTGTCACAGAGCAAAGCAACAGTGAAGAGCAGCAAATGGCTAGTACAAAGTTGCTCATATGAACATTCTTATTCATCTTACTTGTCAGACACAACTCTTCAATTCTACATGATCATAGCCTGTCAGCAGATCTCTCATCTGATTGAGCTCTAACGGTGCGAGGAAACTGCATTATAACTTTCAATATTTCAATCTCCAAAACTAATAACGTTTTATTATCATCCAAATTCTCTTCAGTCGTGATGAATGTCGACACTCTCAAAGATGCCCCTTGTTTCGAGTTTCTATTGGGACTAAAGCTAATTGCAGATCTCGAGAGCATATGGTCACATCACGTTGATACAATGGTTCGTGTACGATCACCGAAGTTAACGTCTAGCCTAGTCAGTATCGAGATGAGTGACCTTTAGGGGAATACCATGTGGATTAAGCTTGAATGTGCGGGGGTGTAATGGATAATGGTTCGGGATTGTTAATCAAAGAGCCGAGTTCCAATTCACGTTGGGTTCGTTATATTCATTTACTCGCAAATAACTTCGAAAAAGGTATGAATTCACCAATTTCCCCCCAGCTATGGGTTAATTAGTAAGACCGTTATTATCTGCCACCAAAAACATTCTTACTGACTAAAAACTATTTCCTGGCTTTAAATAACCTTCAAAGGGTTGATAATCCGTAGAAAACGAATCAGTAAATCAAACCAGACTTCAAGGGGAAACTCATATATATGATGTATCTCTAAAGATGCTCGTTAAATGATCAACAGTTTATACCGCTTCAGGAAGTACCCAACTTCTGGCATGATTTATATTTAGAAGTTTGATTACGGTTAAGCGCAATCTATGTTGTTCATGATGACGGTCGTCTTTGAGTATAGAATCCAGAGGTTAGCAGTGAATATTTCGAAGACAGTAGGGAAGCGTAGTTCAGGTTAGCAGTGGATATCCCGGTAAAAGTAGCAGAGCGTAGTTCTTCCTTCTGTTCCTCTTCGCCTGACAAGCTGGCACTGGACATTCGGATAGAGTAAACAAAATGGCCGCCTTTATAGACGACGGATTGAATATTTTACGTCTTCTGATTGGTTAAATTTCTATTGGTGGACTATAAAGTGAGTCAAGTCATTTGGGCTAACTCACTAGTTACATAATGTATCCAAAAATTGTAACAATCTATCCTACATATCCTCATAATCTGCACTTTTTATCTTCTTTTACGGCCATAAAACAACTTAATTTAGTTTCGATCTTTCCGAAAGGGTTTGGGGTCAAACATGACATTCGTATGAAAATCTCGATCTGACAAGCTTATTTAAGAACATGACTCGAGTTTTCAGGTTGATGATTTGGTTTTGTAGCAACGTGCGGTGT